ACATCCCCTGAGGGCTGCCGGGCTGCCAGAGGGATGTCTGACTGCCAGCTTGGGCCAATCCCCCAGGGAGCGGGACTAAGCCAGCAGGTGGACATCCTCTGAGGGGCCCCGGACTGCAAGAGGGCATAGGCCGGGCTGAGGGACCCCCCCTCCCCCCGCACAAATTTTTGTGCCGGGCCTCTAGTATACATATAAATAAATAAACAGTTTTGAAACAAAGGAGAGAAGTGGCTCAGCAGCTAGAAGGAGATCCTGGAGACAGTGACTGAGGCTTTGTTTGTTGGGGGTGGAGATTTGGTTTTGCTTTGTTTCTTTTGTGAAGCAAACTCTAGCAAATTTATAAGCATTAGTATATATTTTTATATGCATAGAGAATTATAGGAAAGAGAAGAGACAGTTAAGGGAGCAAAGTCCTGAAAGGAGAGAGAGACTTTTCAGAGCCCAAGGCCAGGGGATGCAGTTGGGACTAGAGAAAGGGGATAAGGATGGAAGGATACATGTAGGGCACATGGCTTCATTTTTATGCTCCAATTGCAGAACTCTGAGAATAAGCTCTTCTTTTTTGGGTACCAGTGATATTATCTTAAGCTAAATTAATCAAATTTACAAATTCTTCCCCACTCAGGGGTAGTACATCTCCTTGGAAAAGTAATTTCTCCTTAGAAGTAATTCAATGACTCCTTCTAATACCAAACTCAGGTTTGACGCCCTGCCCTTTTGAAAGCCAATACCTGAAAGAGAGAGGTGCTAATGTAAGGAAAGAGAGTTTATTCAAGTGTCAGCAGCTTGAGGAGATGGTGGACTCCTGTCCTAAAGACCATCTTAATATCTCAGGGCAGGCAGGGTTTTTATTAGGAGGGAGAGGGAAAGCAGAACAAAGAAATCGGGAGGGGGTTGAAAGTTCTCTATGTGTAAGTTAGCGCAGTCTGTTCTGGTGATCATCTCAAAGCTGATCAGGTGAAGGTGTGGTTTTAATCATTCAAAGTCAGGAAATCTCCTGGACCCAGAATGTTGGTTGCTGGAATCAGCTTCCTTTGAAGTTAGTTTTTGGAACTCTTTCACAAATAATGCTGTTTACCTATGGGTTACATAGTAGTTAACAATTCATCTTTTACAAAAACACTTTAAACAGAAACAATATTGAAAGAATAGAGGGGTGGGTTATACTTCCAAGTCTGGGTTTCAACTGATGATGAAATAAGATTATTTTATTGAAAGTGGACTTTGCTCTTCCCCTTATCAAGAAAGGGGCTCTTACGTTAAAAGGTGTTCTGCTCTAACAAAAACTTTTTCAGCATCCTGAGCAACGCCAAGAGCCCTGATATTTGTGTTTCTGGCATGTGTTTATGTAGTATGGAAAAGTGCAGTCAACTAAGTGAAGGGATGTTGGTCTTCAAAATTTCTAACACAACAGGATTGCTTGCTATGCAGTCATTGATATTTAAGTCAATTTAGTCAAAAAGGCACAAAAACAGTCTGTTTAACAGACTCACTTGTCATTTTAAGGTTAAAATAACACATAACTTAATGCTTTAATATCCTAATGTGCCATTTTATAAAGAAAGATTCAGACTTCCAGGAGCACTCAGAGAATTTAAAGAGGTAGTCCACTACGTAAAGTACTGAACCTGTAAAAGTGGTTTCTGTATCTTTCATATTCATTCAATGATGCATAAATAAGTGATTTTTTTTACCTGTTTTATTTCCATCAGAACACACATTCTTCATCAATGTTAATTGAACATATTTGAGATTAAGAACTAGCTGATTAGAGATAAATTGCTGTTACTTTTTTTCTTTCTTTTTAATCCTTACCAGAGGATATGTTTAGAGAGAGGAAGGAAGGGAGGGGGGAGAGAGAGGGAGAGAGAGAGAGAAAGAAAGAGAAACATTGATCAGTTGCCTCCAGCTGCCCCAGGGGGGTGGAACCTGCAACCTTTTGCTGCCGGGAGGACACTCCAATCAAGGGAGCCACCTGGCCAAGGCAGAATTGCTGTCCCTCTAACTACATGTCGCTTGGGAACAAAATATTCCTTTTGATTGAGTTTTAAGGGGTCCCTCACCTCTTGAAACCTGGCTCTTTCCCAGCAAACTGAGGAAGTGAGTTTACCATGTGCTGCCTCACTCGGAGTTTCGGTCTCCACACTCAGGTCCCGCCCTTGGGCGAGTTCTTGGGAAGGGCTTATGTCCCTGCAACACAAGCCGGGGAGAGGGGCCGAAGCCTGGGAGGAGAGGGTGCCTTTGGGACCCTCTGGCTGGGGGCTCGGGGCTGGCGCTCCCACCTGCTTTAAGCGCAGGGAAATGTGCGCGCCAAGTTGTCTGCCTGACCCCACACCGGAGTTGTGTGGGTACGCTTGGGTCGTGGAGATGCTCCACTGAGTAGAGAGTGCAGGAACCCCCTACCCTGGAGCCAAGCGAGTTGGTGATCCTGGTGACAGGCGACAAAGATGAGCTGGGCTGCTCCTGTCTCTGGCAGGACGAGCCGGGGCGTTTGGGCACCTCTGGAGGGCAGGGACTAGGCTTTGGCGCTGTCCAGCACTGGGGAGTGCCCGCCTTGCTCCCTCACGTGGTGCCGGCCCCCTGCCGCCGGGCAGGGCCTGGCCTGGAGAGTTGGGGTGTGATGTGGGTGGCTCCCCGCAGACACTCTAGCTGCAGCGGTCCCAACCCCTCCCCCGCCGCCGCCTCCAGGCGGGAAGTGGAGGGTGGGAGTCACTGGAGCGTGATTGCCCGAGGCCCCTCCTGTCGCTGCGGGAGCTCCATAAAAGCCCTGCTACAACCCGCTCACGACACCCCATCACCGGCTCTCACACCAGGGAGAGGTGCTCCGGACAGGACAGCAGAGTACTCG